TGCCTTAATTCAATCATTACTTATCTTTATCTCTCTTTTTGTAGCTGATGGGTCTTTAATTCACTCTTCTTCTGTGTCATCCCTCAATCCTTACATCTCATTTGTTAAGGAGATATACTGTTGGTCTCAAAGACTCCAGATGCCCCCGTACAAATTCACACTTCCAGCAAGTTACACCTAGAAAATCTCTGAGTTGAAGGAGGCAAAAAGATTCCAACTAATTGTATAGGAAGCATGATGTCTCACTTATACGACGTTTTATACTTTAGCATGATCACAGACCTTGGGCCAAATCTTGCTGAAAAGCTTATTTTCTATAGATTGTTTAGCTGTTCATTGTAAAGAAAGCATTTTGCTGTTTGCCTTCTGTTTTGTTTAAAAGGGCTTGCGGAATAGTGTAGGTGGATGTTCCTTCGTATTGACTTCACTGTCAATTAATTTTCACTGTGATTTCTGTTTCATGAGCAATGTGTTTGTTTTGAATCCAACAATACATAGTCACTGATTTTCGAACAATGTCTGTTTTTGTTTCTGATTTACAGCATCTGCAGTTCTTTCAGTTTTTAATACACAGCCACTCCTTCTTTATTACATTCATTATTTATCAATTTGCTGGAGTTTGAATTCTTTTGTTCACTCATTTATTGTAATGAACCACACAGAGGTACTGTGGAACAATACTAGGATCAGAATAATCACAAATGCTGCTCTCAAAAATCATAATTATCTCTGCTTCCATAGAATAGGGAAAGAAAGACCACTTTTCTTACAATAGGAAAAGGTGGAGGATCAATTTCCAAGAGGTTTCCCTGATCTCCAACTTTGGTGGAAGGAAAACATAAATCCTGGAGCAACAGTGCAATAACCGTTTACTCTGCGTCTCTCAGCTTCCATTGACAGAAAAACAGGAAATCAAAAGATAAATAAGAAAACCTACAGGTGTATGACTCCATTGAAGTGAAACCGATACAAAATTACACAGATTCCCAGGTGGTAATATCAATTGGGTCAGTGGTAGTACTCTTTCCTCAGAACCAAAAGGTTCTTCGTTCATTGAGACTTATAGGATTCTTAATGGGCCAGCAATGAAGAGCCCCTGGCTAATGTTGTGGGGACATGGGTTTGAATCCCACCACAGCAGATGGTAAAACTTAAATTCAATAAGAATCTGGAATAGTGGTGACTTTGTGACCACTGTCGATTGTCATAAAAACCAACCTGGTTCACTAATGTTGTTTAGGGAAGGAAATCTGCCATCATTAACTGGTCTAGACTGCATGTGACTCCATACCTATGGCAATGTAATTGACGCTTAAAGCGTTATGGATAATATAGTGACCTAGCCAGGGACAGCTACAGCCCAACAATGTTTTTTTTTTAAAAAATACACTGGCAGAATGGGGTGACGCATAGCAGACAAAATTTAAAACAGATATGTACAAAATCATACTTCTTCAAAGGAAGAATGAGGAGAGGCAATTTAAAATAAAAAAGCACATTTCTAAACAGAGAAACCTGGAGGTCAATAGAATAGTTCCACAGAGGCCTGTATCCCAAGTCACCCTTTATTTACACGATCATAGTACTTTCCACTGGTCTGGCTTCCTCTGAGCCAACTCTCAGACAGAGCAGAACCTCTGACACAAAAACAGAAGTTGCCATTAAAGGTCAACAGGTCTGGCAGCATCTGTGAAGAGAAATTAGAGTTAACATTTTGGGTCCGGTGACCCTTCCTCAGAACCTTTCCTCAGAACCCTTCCTTTTCTGAGGAAGGGTCAGTGGACCCAAAACATTAACTTTGATTTCTCTTCACAGATGCTGCTAGATCTGCTGAGCTTTTACAGCAATTTCTGCTTTTGTTTCTGATTTACAGCATCTGCAGTTCTTTCCACTTTTATTCAGAACCTCTGACACCCCTGTTTATATCTGTCAGCCAGGGCTCCCTGATTGGACCAGGTTAACAGCCCCAATCAGGGAACTCATATTCTATGAGGCTCACCTGTCTGACTTCATTACAATGATTACAGGAAACGTGCACAAAATATTGCAAATAGCATAGCCCGTTGAGAAAGCAATTCAAAAGACATCCTGAATCTTGAGTTATACAAACAAAACTATTGAGTACAAAAGGAAGGACATTATGATGAATCATTTAAAACAATGGTTCAGTTTCAAGTCCAGTATTGTGCCAGTTCTAGACAAACACCTTTAGGAAGGCTAAAGAGGTTGTAGGAAAGACTTATGAGAATGGTTGCGGATTGGAGAAGTTGGGATGAGTTTACTTATGCATGAGAAGATTGAGAGCAGGTTTGATTGATATTTTCAACTTCATGAAGTCTCTGCTCTAATTACCAAGGAAGAAATCTTTCCCATGGGCAGAAGGCACTGAGAACCAAATGACAGCTTTAAAATGGTCGGAGAGATGAAACAAAGACAACATAAGGAGAAATCTTTGTTTAAACACCTGAGAGAGCGCGGGAAGTAGAGTTAATTGTGACTTTTAAAAATGAGGTACTGGAAAGCAAAAAATGGAGGTATATGGAAAAATGGTGGTTTGAGACAAACTAAATTGTTCCCGCAGAAGGTAACTCAGGGCCAATGAGCCTAAGGGCCTCCTTCCATGCTGTAACCATCCAATTATTCTCTGATTATATCATCTATTTGAAATGACAGCACCCCAGTAGAGCTGTCCTCCTACAGAGAATCAGCTAATTTTTTTTGTACTCGTGTCTCTGAACTGGAATTTGGCTCTTTTCTGACTCAGAGGAAACAGTCTTATTAACTGAGGTGTGGCTAACACCGCAAAGAAATTAAAACATACAATCTGATTACTGTCAGAAAATGCATTGGCATTATATAATGGTGCACCAGCCCAGCGTGCCACAGAGTTGTGAGTCCAGTGCCTTACACAGCTGAAGTCTTTGTCTCAGCTTAGCAGCAGTGCTTAGAATGGCCAATCACAATCATATAAGGCAGATAGAAGCTAAGCGCAAGATATTGTCAGGTTATTCTTGCACTAGACTCTGAAATACAAACATCAATGTCTTTACTTCTATTTACAAACAATGCAGAAATAAAATGTAAAACAATGTCTCCCTGAAACAATAACTGATAATGCGCTACTGAGGAATCACTCAACATGTGCAGTATTTTATATCTTAGTTGATCAAAGCTTGTGTCACTACCGCCATATATCTTTCTTTTACATTTGGCTGCTCTGCTGAATGCAGTATGTGCACTGCATGACATTTTAATACCTAAATTCAATGTGAAAGCACAATACCTGGAGTCTTCTTGACATTCAGAGAGCTTGAACATCAAACCTCTCAATAATATGAAAATTGATCAAATTATCGACAATTTTTTATGGCGATAAAATAAAATTTGTACATATGAGCTAATCATTCCACTTTTTTCATTATACCTCAATTGTGATGATAAAGAATGGACTAGATTTTGTGGTGAACAACAGTGGTCATTGCTGGTGTCAATAAAAGTTTGGCAGGCTACTCAAATGTGGAACACATCACAGTTGAGCCTAATCATACTCTCACCTGACATTGACAGACGTGTTGCTATCAGGAGTCAAAGATTAGCAATCAAAAACAAGTTCCCTAGCTAATTAGTTTCCAATCTCGGTGAAAGGACTCTGCAGCAACACCATTAGTAACCAAATTAGGATTTTTATGACTTGTACAGTTTATTGACACAACACAATGCAGAAATCACAAGTCTTATTGCTATCATCGAAGCAAATTTGTAGAATGAAACACCAATGGCACAATTCTTAGAACTTTAATGTCTCCTTTGACTAATCATTACCTCAGAGTATTGCACGGCTTCTTTGTAGTTGATACCAAGATGGATGCCATACATTACTCTAAGATATGTTCCATAAAATTGAAATGAATACAGTCCAGTTATTTTAACTATGTGAATTTCATAATGGATCATTTTTCACCTTCTTAAATTCTTTTTACGCAACAGGAGGATCTCAGTGCTACTCTTAAACAAGTCATTTGTGATTACGTTTCCCTTTTTACTATGGAACTAATGATTTATTAATGAATTCATTTGAGGGAATGGTATAAGAACACATGGTTTTGAAATGTGTAATTTCTAAATTACAATTTAATTCAATAGACAGAGAAAAATCAGGCATTCTCCAGCTTACATTAAAGAATATTACTCCACTAAGTGAAAGTGACTTCTTCGGTGCATTTTTTTTTTTCTCCCTCTCAGAACCTTCTCATTTTGGTGGAAAATCATAATGCACAAGCTCCTATCCCACCAGATGGTGTGTAGGAAGTATTGCACTGCAGTTTCCCATTTCCACTGAGTTTTTTTTCATCTCCTTTCTAAAGATGTTGAGTCATGGTGAGGTATGGTTCCAAGGCTGTAAAGTGCATTGTCCAATGTATAAGCCTAGGTGGCAAGTGCCAGCAGATTATTGGACAGTGTACCGCTACACTACATTATTAGCCTTCCTCATCTAACACAGCACCAAGTTACTTTTCAGTGGAGATCACAATTTGATGTCGCAGCTATTAAGTAATTTCAGCACTCCCTCATTCAGCGAATGATGAAAGCTAATTGCACAGTCCTATCCATTGCCTCATCTGATACCAGCAGCTAACTCAGCATAAACCAGAGATCACATCTTAGATCTCAGAATTCTTAAACACATAATGAGTCAATTACTCAGCATGACAGCACTTGGTCTGTCAGAAATGATGAGGAATGGATTTGCATTATTGCATGATGTTGACAGGACAGTAAGCCATGTTTCACATAGTCAAATCTCTTCCATTCTCCAGTAAAACTAAATTGACAGAACACCAGTGTTTCATTTTGCGCAGAAAAACTAATCTCCCCTTTGTATACACAACAACTACAAAACACACAGTTCACAGATTATTTTCAGTAAAAGAGCAGGTTATCTCCTGCTTCACCATTCAAGATAACAAGGCCCAGTGACATAATAAATTTGATTAACGTACCTTGTATTGGAAAAGGAATAACCCACAAAATAGACTGTAAATATCTGCTGTTAATAGGGAGAGGTTGACAGCAGTGGCACTACTTCGTTTCATGACTACAGGCATGAAGCTGTATAGACCAAACATACAGGCACTGAAACCAATATAGAGCAGTCCTGGAGAAAAGAGCAGAAAAAGACATTAGGGTGTTTTCCAAAGAGAAAAGGAAACATAACTGGTGCAGTTTCAAAGCTCTTAAAACATAGCTAAAGCTGTAAATTTCAATGATCCATTCAGTAGATGCTGTCAGATTACTTAATTAGCAGTTCCAATTTGATGATTATAATCCAAAGGGCATAACCAGTGATACAAAACAGAAAAGAAAACTCACAATTTGAGGACATGTTGTGGATTCCAATGGGACTGTTCCAGATTTAATGAGGGAAAAATAACTAAAAGATATATATTTCATTTTGTTATTCAAAAATTAGGCTTCTTTTCCCATAATGTTCTCAATGCCCAGGTAATCACCTGACTCATCATTCAGAATCACTTTTACAACTTAATTTTACAAATATTTCCAACTTAATTTTACTTATTAGCTTTCTCTTGTTATTTTGCAAATAGTTATTGATTAGGAATCTAAAAGCACACATCAAGGGTAAAAATGTCATTTGCTCATTGAAATTACTAACATTAAAATAGATGACAAACTGTCACTAACGTTAAAACTTATACTCTTGTATTAAGATTGATATTTAGGCATGATTACTTGTAATGGATGAGATTAAAATGCTGCTATGACAGGATTTTAAAAACTTCAAAAGGAAGAAAAATCTGATCAAATATTTTTCAAATTTCTAGTCTTTAAATTTGTAAACTTGTTTTTCTCAGAATCATAAGTATATGTTGATAAATATTAAAGAAGAGGAGATATTTAGCTACAAAGTTTCTATACAACAGCCAAGTTTTGAAAAAAAGACATGAACAACACTTTCAGTCAAATGAGTAGCAACCCTATCATAATCTTGAAGTAAATTTTCGTCTTTATGTTTTTTCTCTTGTGAAATGTGGATGTTAATGGAGAGGTCAAAATTTGTTGCTTAATTACCCTTTAACTGAATAGTATTCAAGGCCATTTCAGTGGACAGTTAACAGTCACCTACATGTATGTAGAGTTGCATATAGGCCTGACTGGGTAAGGATAGAAGATTTCCTTCCCAATGTTAGTGAACTCAATGTGCTTTTATTAAACAATTGATGGTAGTTTCATGACCACAATTACTGAGACTAGCTTTACTTTCCGGATATTATTAATTTAAATTCCATCATCTACCATGGTAGGATTTGGACCCCATGTCACCAGCACAGTAGCATGGCCTCTGAATTACCAAGCTAATGCCATTATCACTGCAACACTATCTCCTTTGGATAACTACAGACTTGGGAGGCTCTGTGTCTTTCACTTCTGGGATGTCACCTTGTATTCAGGCCTAATTGATACGTTGAAAAGTCTCAGCTTTCAGCTTTTTGCAAAGATTCCTTACAAAATGAATTGGGCATTTTCAGGATAATTCCTAGTCAGAGAAAAGAAAAGCTCAATTTTTAATTCAGTAATTGGCAATCTTATTTGCATTGAAAGATGGAGGAAAATGAGAGCCGATATCTTGGTCAAGAAGGGAGAGGCTGCTTGAGTCTGAATCGACCTTAATGTTCACTGTAGAGCCAGGAACAGTCTCTTGACTAGACAATGTGTAGTGGTAACATCATTGGATTAGTAATCCACAGGATGAGGTTAATGCTGTAGCAGCAAGGATTTAAATCCCACCACAGTAGCTGGCAGATTTACAGTTCAATTAATAAATCTGGATTTGGAAGTGAGAAACAGTGACCACAAAATGACTGCTGTAAAAATATATGTTCCTTAGGGAGGAGATCTGCCATCTTCACCTAGGCTGGCCTACATGTGACTCCAGACCCACAGTGATGTGGTTCAATTTTAACTGTCCTCTGAAATGACTTCATAAACCAATAGTTTCAAAGGTCATTAGGAATGGCGAACAAATGCTTATCTTCCCAGCAACAATAACATCCCATGAACGAACAAAGAAGAAAAAAAAAATATTTAAACTGAGTGGTAGTGCTTGACACAGAATGCCTGCAATTTCTTATATTAAGACCCTTTAGATTTTGATGTAGTTTTGTTATCCTATTCTGATTAATAACGATTTTGTAATTACTGCTTTCTCTTGGGTTTATTGTGTGAAAGAAGTGATAGCAGGAATTAGCACCAAAAAACTGAAAATGCACAGTAAATTGATCAGCACTGGAAGTGGAAAACAGGCCAGCATTTATGAATGCAAGCTTAAGAAAACCTACCATGTTATCCTAACTTCTCTGTCAACAACATTTTCAATTTTAGCTCCAGTGATTTTTTTTGTTTGTCCTTAATATCTGCTCAGTTGTGGGTGTGCAGAATGATTTGAGAGTTGCCCCACATGATAAATTCTAATTATCTTCAGCACTGAAAAAAGAAATCTGGATACATGACCTCATGGATGTCCTTCTAGTTGCCAGGTAGAGGAAGAAATAACCTCAGACCTGATTCTGGATCTGAAATGATTGCATTGTGTGGTAAAAACTGAAGACTTGAGGCTTTTCTGAAATCTGGCCCTGAGCCTCAGTTTCCCTGCAGCAATCTATGAGTGTGTCTGAAGTCTCCTGAGGCATATGCATACCTTGCACATATTCTGCTCAGCCACTGGCTAACTTTTCAAAGCAGTCAATAAAGTATAACATATTGAATGACCTAACACCTCTGTAAGACAGCTGCCAAATACACTTCCATATTGCATGAGCCGATATTGCTTGACAGAAATTTCAGCTGTTTTTGGAGTTCTGGACACAGCCCTAAGAAACTGTTATGTTTATTTTAAATGATCAATAAATTGAAACTCTAATTTCTTTGCATTGGGAATGATATGCAGGAATCTTATGAATAGATTTTGTTCCCCTGTTTTTGTGTTTTCTTGCATACAGCCCTCCATCAGCTTTATGTAGTGTTTCCATGAGGGATTGGCAGGCACACAGATAATCTGGTCACAAATATTTGCCAGTTCAACTCTTGAATTGTTAACCTGGATGTGTTGCAATCTGTCTACAGTGACTTACTTTCTGTGTTTCTCACCTTTCCTTATAAAGAACCACTGAAATTTGGTGTTTGCTTCTGACAACATTGGTGAGATTAAAAATATGGCATGTGAGCGACTGTAGATAAAATTCCATTTACTGCCACTCTGTAGCACCAGGTATTAATGCTTTATGCACTGAATCAACACATTGTGATGGCCTCAGTTTCATCCATCATCTCATAAGTATCTGGACACACCAGACTTCTGTCAATGTTCAGGAAAGGCGAAGAAGCTCATATGTTATTATACAACATGATAATTGTGGTGTCACACTGAAGCATAATATCAATTTGACTGCTAGAATTTATCAAAACACTGATTTTAGAAAGACAGTCACCAAGAATTAGTTTCCATTACTTATCATGTCACCTTGATGATGTGGCAATCTAACACAATCCATTTCATTACTAAAACCTAAATCACGGTCTTATTTTGTTTATATTACTCACTGCCTTCATAGCACATCAGTGATACGTTATTTTGCTATGAAAAATTAGAATAGGGAAGATGAAGTCAGTTTTTCTAAGCTTCAGTAACATTTCATAAAATTACTTCACATATTCAATCACTGGCATGCATTAGCACCACTGATTACTTCACATATTCAATCACTGGCATGCATTAACACCACCAAGTTATCACACTAATAGCATCAACTAATTTGATTTGGATATAAGTTAAAATAATATGTAATTTCTTTTAAAAAAAAACTTTAGATAGTAATGAAACTCTTACATTATTAAAGAGCAATTCATCAATTTTAAGGCTTAGTGGATTATGAGGTGCCAAAAAAATTCCTATTTTCATCATGTTAATAGTTTGAAAAATGCATCTTCTCCAAAACTCAACAGTTACACTGAAGTGAATTTGGAATACCAGGCCTATTTTCTCATCTATTATAATCAACATGCTCAGCTCAGTCCAGTTACATATTCCACTGAGAAAAAAGGATTCTAGTAAGGGGATAAGAAGCCATGGTTACCGTAGCAAGTTAAAGACAGCGTCAAATGAAAAGATAAAATAACAATGGAGTAAAGATTGGTGGTAAGCCAGAGGATTTTGAAAGTTTTTAACAAAACAAGAATAGCCAGCAAAAAGGGAGAAAATAAACTTTGAGGGTACATATATTAAGTAATATCAAGACTGACAGCAAGAGTTTGTTTAAATACACAAAAAGAGAGACACCAAAGTGAGCATAGGCCCCATTCAGAATGAGGCAGGTGAAATTAACAATGGGGAACCTGGAAATGGCTGAGGAGTTGAACAAATACTTGCATCAGTCTTCATGGTAGAGAATACGAATAGCATTAGAAAAACACTCAATAATCAAGGAGTAAATGACAGAGAGAAAATTAATACAATAACTATCACTGGAGAAAAAGTGCACGTGAAACTAATGGGGCTAAAGACTAATAAGTCTTCTGGACCTGCTGGGATGCATTCTAGCATGTTAAGCAAGAAGCTACAGCAATAGTGGGTGCACTGGTAGTAATCCTCCAAGAATCATCAGATTCTGGAAAAGTTACAGAGGATTGGAAAACTGAAAATGTAACATCTTTATTCAAAAAGGCAAGGAGACAAAAATAAAACAGTTAGCTAAAGGCCAGTTTATTTAAACTATTATTGGCAAAATACTAGCATCTATTAGCATGTGATGCCAGAGCATGTAGAAACAGAGTCACCACGGCTTCATGAAGAGAAAATCATTCTTGATAAGCAAATTAGGTTTCTTTAAGGAGGTACCAAGCATAATAAAGGCAAATCAAGCAAACCAATGTATTTGGATTTCCAGAAGATGTTTGATAAGGTACAGATAACACAGTGTGCAGCTGGAGGAACACAGCAGGCCAGGCAGCATCAGAGGAGCAGGAAAGTTGACATTTCAGATCAGGACCCTTCTTCAGAATTGGGGAGGGGGAAGGGAGCTCAGAAACAAATAGAGAGAGGAGGGTTGGAGCTGGAGAAGGTAGGTGGGATGGTGGTAGGTCAGTGCAGGTAGGGAGTGGTGGGGATTGGTCAGTGAGGTCCACCATTCCCTACCTGCACTCACCTATCACCATCTCACCTACTTTCCCCAGCTCCCTTCCCCCTCCCCATTTCTGAAGAAGGGTCCTGACCCAAAACGTCAACTTTCCTGCTCTTCTGATGCCTCCTGGCCTGCTGTATTCCTCCAGCTCCATACTGTGTTATCTGTGACTCCAGCATCTGCAGTTCTTGCTATCTCTGCTTGATAAGGCACCACATATTCAGCTACTTAATAAGATAAGAGTGTTGGTGAAAGGATATTAGCATGGATAGAAGATGGGCTAACTAATAGAAGATCAAGAATTGGTATGAGGGAGGCATTTTCAAGAAAGCAACCTGTAACTAGTGCAGTGTCACAGAGATCAGTGCTGGGATGACAATTATAACATATGTTAATAACTTGGAGAAGGGAAGTGAATGTACTGTAGCCAGGTTTGCAGATGACACAAGAATATTTGGCTGGGGTTGGGGGGTGGGGGGGGGAGGTGCAAGTGGTGAGGATGACACAACGAGGTTAAAGTGGGTATAGACAAATTGAGTGGACAAAAACTTGACAGATAGAGTATAAAATAAGGTTATGCATTTTGACAGGAAGAATAGAGGAACTAAATAACATTTGAGTGGTGATAACTGTAGAAGGCTGCACCAAGAGGGATTTGGGCGTTTTCATGTATAAATCACAAACAGCTAGCATACATGTTCAACGCATGATAGAAAGGTAAATGGAATGTTAGCCTTTATTTCAAAGGGAATGAAATATATAAATAAGGAAGTCTTGGTAAAGCTATACAAAGCATTGGTCAGATCCCACCTGATACTGGCATTGGAGGCCAGTGTTTCACGGTAGACTAGCATTCAGCAAAGGAAGCCTACCCCAAAACGACTGAACATAAAAACACAGGTCATAGGGGCAGAGGTAGGCCATTCAATGAAATCACTGCTGATCTGGTAATCCTCAACTCCACTTTCTGGCCTTTTCCCCATAACCCTTGATTCCCTACTGATTAAAAATCTGTCTATCACAGTACACCCAGCATCGACAGCCCTCTGCAGTAAAGCAGATTCACCACCCTTTATGAGAGAAGAAATTCCATCGATGACCCCATTCCCTGCATAAGATTCAGTTTCAAATCAGTGCAGAGATGTATAAAAGTCATCAGGTGGAAGAACCAGCATGGCCATAAAAAAATTAAGTTAAATGTAATTGCTTTCTTTTCTCATTCAAAGGAACATTTTTTTTTCCAAAATGAAGAACATGCAGTCACTATTTAGATTTCTGATTATGATTTCATTATTTTTAGTTAATTTGAAATTTGAGACAATCACACCCCACAGACTTGTCAAATGATGGACAAATGCAGAACAAAGAATTTGCCATCAAGGTAAAACCATACGACACAAAGTCTTTTCTCATTGACCTATTTTTAGTCTTGGGGATTGGAACCTGTTCACACTTGGTCACATTAAAGTAGGTATCCAGGCTTCTTTATTTAATTGATTGTATCTTCAGCCATGGGTGACCCATGATCATGGCCACAGGGCTGCACACGTTGCATCATGGCTCTAGATCTTAAAGGCAGTCCATCTTTTTTAAAGGAAAGCTGCACTGAGTGAAAAGCCACCGCTGCGGACTGCCAGCATGTGCAACTATCTGCAGTTAGAAACAAAATACATGGAGCACCAGTTCGGATACAGCTCTTCTACATTCAAGAATGCAGGTCTTAGTTGTGGAGGTGAAAAGAGAGAGAGACAGAGGCCAAGGCCAGGTTTTTGTTATAACAAGGTGTAGAGCTGGATGAACACAGCAGGCCAAGCGGCATCAGAGGAACAGGAAGGCTGACGTTTCAGGCCTAGACCCTTCTTCAGGAAATTCAGATTTTTGTTCCCTGGTCAAGTGCACAGCATTGTAAGAATTCCTGACCCTGTGAACCCTGCCTCTAAACACAGCTGCCGTGAATTTTCTGATCTAGGGATGCAATCCACACGAAAGTGGAAATGATTACAGAAGAACAGAGGCAGCTACTGGTTGCATTGGCAAACTGACAGGAACACCTACCTTGGAGATCCAATGCTGTGTCTATTGTGCAAAAATAAAAAAAAATTAAGCATAAGCGTCCCTCTAGCCCTCATCCATTCCCTCACCATCACACATTTCTCTTGCAGCATCTATGCTAACCTGTGTCACCTCATTCCCCCATTCACCTCATAGTTCCTCACTTTGTCCATGTCAACCTATAACTAACTACTCACTTTACAGAGCCTTTGCTAATTTAGTGTCAAATAATGCCAATCCATATCCACTGTGCATCACCTTCTGCCCTTACACTTACCATTTCAATACATCCAATACCCACCGTGGGCAGGATGCATGACCCATGCATTGATGAGATAAACAGACTTCTATTGCAGACTCAACTATACTGAAAAAGACATTCTAATTCATAGGACTATTTGATACATTTACATTCCTTCAACCAAATACTGACTCATGACAGTACACATTTATTTCAACTGCATAACAATACCCTGTTACTAGGAGTATTAGATTTCATGGTCCCACATCAACAAAATAACCAGTTGTAGCTGTCAATCAAATTGCAAACTTGCAGGCTCCCTATGAGATAATGAATGGTCGTGAAATCAGTAATGCAGCAGTAACTTTGTAATACAAACCCTCAAGTATATATCAACCAAGTGAACTAGAGAACTTTTTTTTAAAAAAGCTCCTATTTTAAGGGCAAGTCTATTAGATGCCTTGGCAGATTCACTGCTCCTCCTGAAATTTTAGACAGCTGATCTTTACAAGTCTGTTGAGAGTTCCAGTTGACATGGTGGGATTGAGTGCATGCAATTTGTGCACATATTTATGCCAGTTTTGACAATTCCAAAGGGTACCTGACTTCTTAGGGTATCCCAGGTTCAAATCCAAAAGGATACCTTACTACTGCAAAGGGATACCCTGGCTTTCCAAATAAATCCAGAAAGTTTAGATCTGCTCTTACCAGGTCTAATCTGCATACTTTGAATTTCACAGTCAAAATCCTACCGCAGCAAGAGCAGCAAATTAGTTAAATAGCCAGCTGTCTCTGTGAGCTGCCTATGAATGAAATATATCCACCATCATTCCCTTCTTTAAAACGGAGAGTGATGACTCTCTCTCATGGGAAAAATCTGGGCCGATATTTCTGTCAAAAACCAAACAAAGAAACACCTTCACAGGGAATGGAAGTATATGGTCAGGGAGATCAATGTGCCCTGTGGATGTGGTGGTAATGCTGGTAAAAGTTCAATAACGTCACATCGGTGGTCAAGGTCAATGAGTGCACCCTCAAAGGGTACCTCACACCCAAAATATCACCAACCCCTCCCATTGCTCATTGTACTACAGCCTCAAAACTCATTCAGCAGCAATCCAGCCTCATATTCTGATACCTCACTCACCTTTCAATGATACTCACGCCACACCTACCTCTCACTGCCTTCACAGACTGTCAGATATGGGAGCCATAATCACTCAGATACCATATAACACAACTGCTGCTGCTCCTCCCTTTCACTTGGCACAACAGAAGGAGTGGTGGATGAGAATACCTGCATCTCTGGAATTCTATGGAGGAAATGATTCTCTGAATAATAAATCCAGCTATGAAAGATGCTGTCACAGAGAATATTTGGAATGATGACACGTTACTGCATTATGTCCCTTCTGAACTCCCACCTCACCCTGAATCTGCTGTTTGGTAATGTGGTCATGGCCCTCTTGATTCTACCCAACCTCCTTTTCCTTAGCCCAACATACCTCTTCTGATTTATTGTTTTCAGCTATGCACGTCATGGCAGCTGCTGGAGAAAGTCAGCATCACTGCATTACCGATGAAGTATCACAATCAATTGATTTGACACTCCCAGAGTCACGAGCTCAGATGGTGGCACTGCGCAAATTTTAGAGGTCAGTATAAAGTCAGGATCAGCAAGTGGTGAATCATTGGCTGCAAGGAATCCAAGAGGAAAGGAAAATGCAGGTACCAATTCACCGAATATGTACATTAATCACTGACTTGACAGGAATGCAACAGGACAGTAGAAGGACTACAATTATACAATCCTAATCACATCCTACAACCCTGAAATCGTTTTGCATTATTCACTCATCATGTTTGCAACCTTAACCATCAAAACTAAATGAATTACTACTTCCGGATAACAGATATGAAAGATAAATTCTCACCTATCTGCCAATCCCATGGTACCTTTAACAGTTCCTTATGTTCCATTATAGCCCTGTAATAAAAATAAAGTTAAAATGATTCATATTTTTCCACTTCACTCAAAAAGAAAATTGGTGCAATCCTTGGAAAAGTAAATCAGAAATATAAATGCAACAATACTTCACTATCTAGTCAGGTCATTGAAAATCAGAACTTTTGGTAATTAAGCAGCAATTGATATGTTATTTATCATTTAACAAATATAAAATGCCACTGTTGTTAATACATTCAGGAGTAAAAATTGCTTCAGAATGAATTAGGAATGTAACATAATCCCATTAAACACATTTAATCATCATTTCTCTTAAGTAAATTTGTTATATTGGGCTGAATTCAATGCAGCCTGTAATAGCAGGCACATGGCAGCTTGGCCCACTTATTTGTTGGAAAGTGCCCATGTCAGTCTCCTGGCAGCAGCAAATCCATTAGTGATTAAGTAGGACGGTGGAAAGTAGGATGCAGGATCATTGACACCAGCCTATCTCTTACCCAATCGAGGGGCCTGACATTGGCAGAGGAGTGATGGCTGAATGCCAGCCCTGACCCATGCCACCGAAATCCTGCTCGCAATTCCTGCACCCCTCCCCCATCTTCACTCACCATTGGTCCATTATGACCCTGGACATCCTGTGAGTGCATTGCCACCAGCACCACCTCATCTGCTAGCACAGATGGCATGAGGAGCTGCCACCCAATTTAAGGAATTGTAGGAATGGACTTCTGCTATCAGGAACCTCAATCACAGAGAAAGTCTGACAGTGAACACTCAAGTGTCTTGAAGGTCTTTGATCCCATAGACCTTTCTCCATAGAACTGATGGGGGTTTCTCACCAGTGGGTTTGACTCCAAATGGCCAGATAGAATCCCAGGCAATGTATACTGTATAAGGTACAATGAGTAGTAACTGTGTGGATTGCAAGTCATTTTGTGATAAATTTACAGCAAATAAATTTCTTCAGGGAATGGTAACTTCATGCTTACATCGTAGAGCACAAAAATTATGCTTCAGAAATGACAGCAACGAAATTCTGTTCTCAAAAAAGCTGAGGTAGGTTGCTGTGTTGTGAAATTCATTTAAAAATTGAAATCACAGGAAGTAAATTGAAAATTGTCATCCAATCCCAGGACGCATACGGTTATTTCAGTTTCATTCTAATATCAATAAACAGTTGGTTACTTCACAAAGTTTAATTTTCTATAAGTTCATCTCTGGAAATTGAAGGTCATCCAAAAATGTTTAGTTGAGCTCCAAGAAAATGTGCAATTAAAACTAGATCTGAAACAAATAATTGGTCATATATTTCTAGTAACTGTTTGTTGTTACTCACAATTGTTGGAATATATAGTGCAGAGTTTGCATTGAGAATAATGTCTTAACTTACTCACTTATTTTGAGTAAATAATTCAGCAACTTCCAGAATATGTATTAAAGATGGAAATCCAGAAATTGTAGCTCGAGTTATCCTGTTCTTTAAAGACTGCTATAACCACTTTGACAGACTTGGCATTGAAAAAGCATGGAAGTTGTGGCATTTATTTTCTCATTCAATATGGCGGAGACATTTAGGCCTGGTACATTAAGTGTGAGTGAAGTTGATAAGTTATATTTATGATAAGTTGCATTTACAGTACAATTAAGCTACTTCTCTTCTACTGAAAATTTAACTTTATCTTTCCTTCTTAATTCCATTGCTGCTTAATGCAATGTTGAATTCAGCTTTTGACTAATATTGTATTCCCTGCTGTCCTCCATGATCATGAAAGGATCATTAGTATTCCCCATATTACATACAATGTAATATATGTCACTATATGGCCTGCTGCTGGTCACTCTACATGAGCACCTGCAGAAATGCAGGAATGAAAGAAACAACATAAAAGCAATGGGCATTAACACATCTCAAATTCGAAGGGATGAGCCATCTCTCCACAAATTCCAAAACACAAATAATACTAGAAAAAGGATTAAACAATATTTCAATGCACAAATGATTAAAATAACAAAGGACCTGAGCTTCCATAGATTTCTCCTAGACTTATTTTGAACAGGACATCTCAAGACATTCATTTTACATAAGGAAGTTATACTATTTCACGAGAAGTTCTGTTGATTTGCTGCTGGAGATTCCACACAGAAATTCCAGGTGAAGTTTCCCTGTGCTTCATTAGAAAATGATGGTGTGGATTTTACGAAGTGGAACAAAGGAATAGCTATTCACCTCACACACAGTATCCCAAAAACTTTCAATGGGCTTGTGTGGAGACCCCAAGTCATCTGGTGTTAATGTGAATTCTATCGCCCTCTACTGGGAATCTATGGCATTTTGCACAGTTCAAATAGCAGCAAGGCTCTTCCACCAATCAAAGTGAAGAATCCCTAATAAGGCGGGCAGGCTGGAAGGTAGGAAGTAACCAAGAGGAAATATAAATTAGAATCGTAGAATAGTTTCCACTGTGAATGTGTCATATCTCTGCAAGGGCAACTCACTTAGTCACTTAGGATCAGATCTCAGCTCTGCAGTCCTGCCACATCCAGTTGTGAATGGTGGTGGACAATTAAACAACTCCCTGGAGGAGGAGGCTCCACAAATATCCCCATCCTCAATGATGGAAGAGCCCAGCACATCGGTGCAAAAGATAAGGCTGAAGCATTCGCAGGGATTTTCAGCCAGAAGTGCCGAGCGGATGATCCATATCAGCCTCCTCCAGTGGTCCCCAGCATTACAGATACCAGTCTTCAGCCAATTTGATTCACTCCACATGATATCAAGAAACGGTTGGAGACACTGGATACTACAAAGGCTTCGGCCCTGACCACATTACAGCAATAGTACTGAAGACTTGTGCTCCAGAACTTGCCACTCCCCGAGCCAAGCTGTTCCAGTACAGTTACAACACTGGTACCTACCCGACAATGTGGAAAATTGCCCAGGCATGTCCTGTACATAAAAAGCAGGACAAATCCAACCCAGGCAATTACCGCCCTATCAGTCTACTCTCAATCATCAGTAAAGTGATGGCAAGTGTCAGCAACAGTGCTATCAAGCAGCACCTGCTCAGAAATAACCTGCTCAGTGACACCCAGTTTGGGTTCTGCCAGGGCCACTCAGCTCCTGACCGCATTACAGCCTTGGTTCAAACATGGACAAAAGAGCTGAATTCCTGAGGTGAGGTGAGAGTGACAGCCCTTGATATCAAGGCTGCATTCGATCCAGTGTGGCATCAAGGAGCCCAAGCAAAGCTGGAATCAATGGGTATCAGGGGGCAAACTCTCCGGTGGTTGGAGTCATAGCTGACACATAGGAAGGTCAATCATCTCAGCTCCAGGACATTTCTGCAGGAGTTCCTCAGGGTAGTGTCCTCGGCCCAACCATCTTCAGCTGCTTCATCAACGACCTTCCCTCCATCATAAGGTCAGAGGTGGGGATGTTTACTGATGACTGTACAATGTTCAGCACCATACGTGACTCCTCAGATACTGAAGCAGTCCATGTTCACATGCAACAAGATCTGGACAATATCCAGGCTTGGGCTGACAAGTGGCAAGTGACATTCGCGCCACACAAATGCCAGGCTATGACCATCACCAATAAGAGACAATCTAACCACTGCCCCTTGACATTCAATGGTGTTACCATCACTGAATTCCCCACTATCAACATCCTGGGGGTTACCATTGACCGGAAACTCAGCTGGACTCACCACATTAACAGAGTGGCTACAAGAGCAGGCCAGAAGCTAGGAATACCGCGGCAAGTAACTCAGCTCCTGACTCCTCAAAGCCTGTCCACCATTTACAAGGCGCAAGTCGAGAGTGTGATGGAATACTCCCCACTTGCCTACATGAGTGCAGCCCCAACAACACTCAAGAAGCTTAACACCATCCAGGACAAAGCAGCCCACTGAATTGGCACTGCATCCACAAGCATTCACTCCCCCTACCACCGACACTCAGTAGCAGCAGTGTGTACTATCTACAAGACGCACTGCAGAAATTCACCAAAGATCCTCAGACAGCACCTTCCAAACCCACAACCACTTCCATGTAGAAGGACAAGGGCAGCAGATATATGGGAACACCACCATCTCCAAGTTCCCCTCCAAGTCACTCACCATTCTGACTTGGAAATATATTCCTTCACTGTCATTGAAAAACGCCATTGTGAATTTCTGTCCACTTTCAGATAATGTCAGCCATACTTTGTCATTTTCATGCACTTTCTAGCAAAAATATTTTACTTAAAGTCAATTTGTATAATAAAACAAACCCGCCACCCCGCGCTGAGAGACTGCCTGAGCAGAGGTCAACAGGGCAGATACCCAGCAGCACAAAATCCAGCTGTCAACGTCTGGGGCAGCTGGAAACAATATAGGGCCTTTAACAAAATGAGTGATTCATAATTTAACTTTGCTTAAAGGGCATAGCAAGGCTGGATGCCAGGAGTATCCAATACTCTTTTAGTTTCTGGACTGCAATGACACAAATAATGGGAAAAACTGTGTATGTATTTTTGCTATTTACATCGGATTACAATATACTTGTCTATATCTGGACATACTAAATACTGGGAATAATGGAGACAAATAGCAGATAAAATCAGGAGAGGAAGCATTACATTCACCAGGCACAGGGTAATAAAGGAAAAATTAGAATAAAAGCTGAAACGTTCCCAGATATTGGTAGACATAATCTAGGGTTTAGAAATTGCTGCTGAAATAGTTGATGTATTGGTTTTAGCTCTCCAAAATACCTTAGATTTTGGAAAGTCTCATCAGATTAGAAAATAATAAATGTGACTCCTCCAGAGAGACAGAAAGCAGGAGACTAAAGGCCACTTGCAGCAACATCTGTCATAGGGAAAATACTGGATATTTTTATTAAGGAGGATTAATGGGGCACTTAGAAAATCCAACGGCAACAAAGCAAAGTCAACATGGCTTTGTAAAAGGGAAATCATGTTACTTGAGTTTTCTTTTAAGGAAGTTACAAATAAGGTGCATAAAAGGTAACTT